GTAGGCGATGCTCTTGCTGAAGCGCATCAGGCAGAACACGGCGAACAGTGCACACAGCGCAGAGAACGTCTTGCGTTTCGCCTGGGTCTTGAACGAGCGCCAGTAAATGGGCGCGCACAGGGACAGATACCTTTCCAGGGCGAGCAGTACTGTCATCAGGTCGCTGAGCAGCGAGAAATACGCCGAAAAGCCGAGACTGTAGCAGCAGAACCACGAGGCAAGCCACGAGTGCTGCTGCAGCCGCTTGGCGATCGTCGTGATGGTCGTTATGGCCGAATTGACAACGTTGAACGCAAGGTCAGACAGGCAGGTGATGAACATCAGCTGAACGAAAGGCAGTTGATTACGGTACGGCTCTCCGACCAGCACCAGCATACAGAGTACGGAACCGACCACGCCAAACGGGGAAAGTATGAGCACCGGTATGACGCGCACTCTGACGCTGACCATCGCGTAGTAGTTCAGCGAAGTCATCATTTCAAGCAGGTAGAGCGAGGTGTCGTTGAGCAACATTTCCGGTTGATCTGGTGCACCTGTGACTGGTCACTTTTCCGTGGCGGTCACTCGCTTTATTTTGCCAAACGGCTCGAACACGGTACAGCTGATTGCGATTTCATCGGCGACGCTCCGTGACCATCAATAAGTAGCTTAATGCCACTGTCGCATGGCTGTCGTCGACTCTTCAGCACGGCCTATAATATAACAGTCATGGAAGGTTCACTGAGGGCAGAGCAACGTTGTGTGAATCGGCAACAGAGATATATTACTTGTGCAGGGTACTGCACTTGAAAAGAAAGAAAGAAAAACTTCTCTAACAGTTGCACTGTCGGTCGTCTTCCTTACACTTTCGCCGTGGGGCCATTTCCTGTGTCCTTCTTTGCATGAACTCAATCGTGGAACGCCGATGTCCATTTCCGTGCCATCAGCCAAGAGAGCCTTGTTTCATAGGCAGAGTTGACAGCGATGATGTGTCAAGCGTTGTACGTAGTGTGCTGTTTCCTTTTCACAAACCTGTACTCGTTTGTCGGTTTCGGGAAGAGGGAGGCGAGCGCCCCAAGTTTGACTTGAAAATGGGACCTCTTAAGTATGAGTCAAACTCCACCCATCTGCAGTGCAACCTCAATTAGCACAAGATGTTAGTGTCGAGTCGAAACAGGCCAAACCTATTAGTGAAAGCGATCGATTCCGTATGATGCGATGACTTTCGTGCAAACGTTCGTGCAGCTCGTCCATTCCATGCCTAGTCAAGCCAGTCTCGAGGCTGTAGATTGTACGCATCACCAAAGAAACTGGGGTAGGAGGTGCAGATTCATTGCTTTGTTAGGAACCTTCTGGCTTAGAATTTGAATCCGGCTCCTGTGAAATTCGAAGTAACCTTTTTCGACGGGAAAGTGTTTGAAAGGGTTTGCTTCTCTTCTGCTACTTCTTTGCGAAATAAATGGCCTATTTCATATCCATGCGTGCGCCATACGGCTGCAATTTGCACGGCTTCACCTGCTGCTTGTTGGCTAACAGTTAGTACAGCAGGTAAATTGCAATTTAAAGATTAATTAAGATTCTATAATTCGGCAGAATGATAAAGAAAAACCGTTTCTATTTTTCTCTCACTTTCGATCATGAATCAATTCGCCAGAAATGCATTCTTCACTGAATGCGTTGCTGCACGATCCTCCAAAACAGAAAAACGATGTTTTCGGGTGTCTGAAGGTGCACTGAATCGGCTCAGGGAGAAACACCAAAATTTAGCATATTTTTTTGCGAGAGATGACAACATTATCTAAGTTCAGTATCTAAGTGGTTAATCCCCTCATCGTTCGAAATAAGGTCGGAAAATGGAGCCCTTCTATCTCTCCTCCTTTCTGCCTTTAACGCTGAATGCCACCGTCCACCGTTGGTACGGCGAACCGTGTTCGATGCAGATTCGTTACTACCGTCATTGATAACTGACGAACGAATTGAAATTAAACCTCCATATTAATTATATAAAAACATGTAGCTGTAAGAAAACCGTTTATCGTGCTGCTCCTCAAATAAGGTACTGTGTCCGTGAAAGAAGTGTAACGCCTGAAAGAGGTATGCACTGGCAAAGCAAAAGAACGGACACACGGAAAGTAGATAGGCTTATTCCTCCGCGTAACAAAAACCGCCAGCATAGTAATAAACTTCCATTTACAGCTGCAGCATTGGCAGCATGTGCTGCATCACAGGTAATAAAATCTCATTAAACCAATTATGAGAATGGAAAATATAAATCTGCTCTAACTCCCCCGCCCTCACAAGACGTGATCACAGCTTTGTCTTTCACATAATGGCGTGAAACCAATTTAGCATGGTTCCTGAGACCGATGGCTCTATGTGTTATGGTACTTGCAGTGAAAGTGTGCAAATCGAATAAAAATAATGAGATCTCAGAATTTATTTAAGAATTATTTTTGATTAAATGCCCTGTTAAATTTTGTTCTAATCAACGAGTTTGTTCGCTAAGGGGCGAAAGAAAGATAAGAGAAAAATCTGTTGTTGCTCAAAACTTTTCGAGATTCAGACTTCATGAAATCGTAAAAGATTTTTTCAACTTTCTTTGGAATGCCAGTTTACAGTACAATTTAATGTTATTTAAACTCTCAACGAAAGCCTTTATATTTTGCTTATCTTTTGCTGCGACGGCATTCATAATCTCTGTTTTCACTTCTGACGGCATTCATAATCAACACTACTTCACGAACAGTGATTACAGTATGCAGTTAGATAATAAAGTACCAAAACGTCACGAAAAAGCTAGTGTTGCGAAAGGTGAAGACAAACGCAAACAAATATTAAAGCAACTTTTGACGGATGAATAAACAGCGAGGCGTCGAATACTTGGCAGAGAAAGCGTGGTTGTGCACTGTAACAGTGGAGAATAAAACGTGAAGCAAATGGGACGCGCATTATGGAAACGGATACCTTTGGTCGGTCATTTTCACTGATCCTTTCGTGTCTCAAGGGCTAATGTGTCTAAATGATTGATTCTCAGGGAGCGTGCGATCCTCGCCTTTGAGCAGAATTTTTTGATGCACTTTTCTGTCATTTTAGAACGCAGCCGGGGTCTTAGGCTGGTCGGTTGGACAAGTAGAAGCTGGCTGGTTCGCCTTCGTCCTGGAAGCACACATCATTGCAGCTGAGAGTTCTGAATCTGGAGAAGCAGAGGCTATGTTTCAAGGCTTTCTCAGATATCTATGCTCCCGC